ATTATTTTGCAAAATAAGCAGCTTCAAAAGGATTAGAAATTAGTTGGCTTAATAGAAGTGATTTAGTCTCGCTGCGTAAACAAGAATTAAAAGAAAACTGGGAAATTGAATGGAATGCATCCTTCTTGGGAAGTTGAATAAAAGACTTGGCAGTATAAAAACTGGACATCGTCTTCAGTGTCACTGGAATCAGAGTCTCTTTTCTTGCCTTTCAGACCTTTATTTAACAACACCCCTTTCTTTTAACCACCTTCTCTTTAGTGTGTTTACTCCCGTCTTTATTGAAGCTGACTTTTCGTTTTACTCGCTCTACTTTTTAAGCTACTTTAGTTTTTGTATCTTCCCTTGGCCTTTTTAAACTCATCCAAGTATGGCGATTAAGTCAGAATGACTGTTTTTACTTTTTTTTCGAGAAATTCTTTTCTTATTCTGTTCCACCTTCGGTATCGGTAGAAAATGTTAAGCAGAAACAGTGGGAAACGACGTTACGTTACTTGTAACTGAAGAATTTGGAACCCTATCTGGCATCTATGAACATTCAGGAAGAATGGGTAGGTGTCCACTATTAGAGTTTGATGGTGTTTTAGAATTTGTTCCGATGAGTGCAGTAGTGACATGATTTTGACTAATTTATTCCTCCCCAGCTACTTGATTTGTCGTAAACAAATTATCTATTTGAATATCTATTGGTGCAGATGAAAGGAAATCGTCTTCAGTGAAAGCATTTACATTTAGAGGCCACACTTCTGTTTTCCTAAAGTCGCTCAGTGCCATTTTAATTGTAGCTGCATTGATAAATGCCGCTCCAAATAACGATGTAATCCGAAATGAAGTTACTACTGTTCCAGGATTTGATTTTTTCTATCTTCGCACTTTATCTTCATAATAAAAAATAATAGGCTTCATCAGTACAATATCTAAATGCTTAAGGCATAGGTGGGGAGGAAAGCAAAGCAATACAACTCCGTTATCTAGAGCAAGATCAATCAGTTCGAGGTTTTTGGTATGTGTTTAATGTTCGTCGAACAGAAGCAAAACAGTAGCATCTTCTGTGGCTTTATATAATTTTTAAAACCAACCAGCAAATATTTTGGTTCTAATTAATCCTGAGTCAGAGACTTCTGCCCACCCTCCAGTTGCTAAACCCAACTCGAACTCTTGCTGCTTTCGTTTCTCTAGTAAACTTAACATAGGGGGTATGTAAGATACATCGGAAGAAAAGCACAATTCCACAGTAACAGTTTCACATTTTTTAGATGATTTTTTAGTTAACGTGCCTACGTATCGTTTCTCTTTCTTTGCTATAATTTTAGAATGTCCTTTTGGATTTATGCTAATGCTGGTCTCATCAAAATTGAGGATACGAGCAGAAGTCACTTTATATTTATCATTGCATTTTTTAACAGTGATTGGAATTGTTCTACAGCTACACGATTGAAGCTCACCGCGCCAGAAGGTTGCCTCAGGTCTTCTTAAACTTAAATTGAGATTCCTATTCTAAAAGCCGTTAATGCAGTCTTGTCCTGCCGTTGCATTGCTTTTGTTAAAATTATGAACAATTCTATTGTGGTCTGCTAAGTGATACGCCAGCCTACGTAAATCTTTTAGACATAAGCCAATCTTTTTTACATGTGGTTTATGTAGATTTTTCTTTGAGCCCACCGTTTTCCGATTTTTCATTTATTTTAGGGCCTCCCGTAGTTCTTTTATTGTTATCAGATCGCCTGTGTAAGGACTTTTACTGTAATCTTAGTCTGTTATTATATTTCCATTTTGTTGATCTTTGAATTTTTTCAGATCGATAACGTGTCTTCCAGATAACTTCTTTTATTATAAGCAGTGTCTCTTGCTTGTTTGTTAAGTTGTTGAAATAATTTTCAAGTTAAATCTTGTTTCCCATGTATTAAATTGTCAATATTTGTTATTAGTCTATCACATAATTCTTGATGCGCTTTTCGTAAAATGTGCAATTTGTGCGCAAATGTGCAAAACTAAATATTAAGATTTAGAGATTTGGAAATATACCATACATAAGAAAATTTCAAATAAGTGAAAATCATGAAAGTTTTTTTATTAACCCACTCAGGCCAACAGTTCAAATACGATTATTGTTTGGTATAAGTGACAACCATGAAGAAAACTAAAATATTATGAATACCATGGATATTTAATATGTCTAATCAAATTAAAACTTGGAAAGTGACCGAGTTTTTCCATTTTATTTTATCATCATTAATAGAAGCACATTTTTATCAATAATAGAAGAATCTTTTACGCCTGCTTCTCTTTTAAATCATAATAACACGCAAAGTCGGGAAAGTTATGGTCATTAGTATCGGTTGATATAGACAAATTAAAAAATTACATGGAAAATACGTTCTTTATACTAGCTGTTTGTTTTAACTACAGGATTGTTAAACACCTATTTACAAGCAATAAACCTCAATATCTTGTAGACAGAAGTCGTGAAAATGGAATAATACGACATATATATTGAAATGATTTCAATATGTTAAAAAATATACAACTTAAATGAATATTTATATGAGTTTGTTGTTTATGAATTTCATGAAGCCATCACAATGTGGGTTCGACTCTGAAATAAAAGAGAGAAAAAGATTAGTAAATTGTTAAATAAATTAATTTTGACTTACCTGGTATAGTGTTAATAATTTCTGAATAGTATAGTTGCCTAGTGTTTAGGTGAATCGTCTAAACCTTAAAAAGAACAAAAAAGAAGAATTTTAAAAAAATATTTAAACATAGAAATTTTAATAAACGTCAGAAAATAAACTGCTTGACAGTTTATTTGACAGTCTGTGGGAGCTAAATTAATAGGGGTTTTGTTAAATAAGAAATTACAATGATGTGGAGATGAAAAGAATAAATTAGTATTGTAATAGAATAAGTTTTATATCTAAATATTTTTTTTTGTAAATTCCCAAATTATATGTGATTAAAGTGATTATGAGAAAGTAATGTGGCTTGACAAATATGTCAAACAGGACAGTTTTATGGTTTAAAATATTTAAATAGAAGACAGAAAAAAAAAGAACGTTGGTTGCTGTTAGCAAGGGATAATAAGAGGAATTGGTTTTTGGAGAGGACGCCGACGAGGTTTTTTTTGGACGAAGGAGAGCCCTGAAACTGTGGAATAGGTCGGGAGTGTTTTTTAACTCGTCTAATTAGAATTTAGTTTTTCCACAGTTTCCACAGCAGAGATATCCAGAAATTTGTTCCAGAGAGTAAGAGAAACAATTTCACTTATAAATTATATTGGAGTATAGAAATGTCATTTAAATTAAGAAAATTAAAATTCATGAATTAACATATTTGCGGTAGGCCTTAAAAATTGAAATTATTAATGATTATTAAATTAAAAATAGAATAGTACGTACCTTAACTTCAGAAGAGAGGATTGATATTCCAGTTTCACCGATTATTTTTGAGTAGTTAGTTTCCTTTAAAGAAATCAGAACTGTTTTAAAGTGAGGTTGGACAATAATTTTGGGGATCATTTGAAATTTTGATTATATTTGAATAGTCAGCGGAATAAAGTGTTCATTTTCTTTTTCTTTATAGTTCATTTAAACACTTTATAAAGTTGCAATATTTATTTAGTTTTTAGGTACTTGTAGAGAGTCTCCACATTTTGCAATACATTTTTATTGTCATGTCACTAAACCACGTTAAGACTTAAACGATTCCTATTTTTGTAAATTTTTAAAGGCAACCGAAGTTGTAGACGAATTTTATTGTTTATATTAAATTTGTTCAATATTAATAAATAACGTGGTTCATTTGGGTTAATTTATCAAAGATCTAAAGTAAATTTTGGTTTAATTTCTTTTTGAACTCTACCAGGAGACTACAGAGTCGACGTCACACAGTGACAGATTGCTTAGAACGAACACATAATTGAGCTAGCCGAGGTATATTAAATTAAACAACGAACCACATATTATAAAAATTACATTTATTATAAAAAAAAAAAATAAAATTAATAAAATACAACTTTATCAATATATATATATATATATATATATATATATATATATATATATATATATATATATATATATATATTTTAAGCGATAGTCATATCTAAGTAAATTGTTTTTTCTTAATATACACTCTGTAATCTGAAAGTTTTAGATTGCAGAAGACAAAATATGAGGTTTTTTATACAAACGATTAACCATCTATAAATTGAACGTCTTGGTATAAGAAACGCAAAATTCAAGGAAAGCGAAAAGTGGGAAGATAAAGAATATCCTGGCTTAAGAACTTGAAAGAACGGTTTGAGTGCAGTACCTCAGAACTGTTCGAACCTTCGATAAAAGATGGAACTTGAATAAGAAGATATCTTGGTGTTCTGAAGGCATTTGAAATATAGTGATACATTAGCATTCTAAAAGTTTATTCCATTACTAAAATTGCTAACGTGAATGCCTGTAGAAAAATAGAAAAAGAATGCGAGCCTTTTAACACAATAATTAAAACAGGTAACCCGGAATTTTTGGGTCATTTTATTAAAAACGAAAAACAATACGGATGGTTTTAATTGATTTTACAAGAAATCGTCTGCGGCGGAAGGAAAATAGAAAAATGCCAATTTTTTAGCTTCAAAATATGAGAGTTTATGTTAATAAACTGACAATAAAGTGCGAAGTGGTATAATAGTCGCCAATATCTGGAAAGGATAGGCACTTTTAAAATAAGATGTTTTCTATGCTGATTGGAAATATATTGATTAAATCTTTAATGTTTTGTATCCTTGAGAAAGATACATTCTTTTGTTTTGAGTAATTATATAATGAGAAAAGATAATAATTGTCCTCATAAAACATAATGGTACTCGGTGTATGCCGGCGAATGATCATTCCAGTATGTTTTTACTTTGGTAAAGACAAAGTAATTTTTTTTCTAAAACGCTTTGAGCAAACTGTGTGTAAATTATTTAAAACTTATATTTTACTAATATATTGTATTTATTTCAGACAATTCTAATCTTGGGCATGCACCAAATTACTGCAAAGACAAGTCCTGTGATTGTCTCCCACGATGGTAAGACGCGATATAGTCAGAAACAGAATGCGGTATCGACGACTGCTAAACCTGAGACCAAATATCAAGTTATACAAAAATATGTACAACGAGTGCAGCCAGAGAAAACTTCCAGTCATTACGCCCAAAGTGTAGCCGCCGTTCCTCAGCAACTGCAACAGGTCACTGTTCAACCGTTCCAATTGCATCAACAAGTGGTGAGTATTTTAATTATTATTTCTTTATTGGATAAATATGATCATACACATCATAATATATCACAGTGACACCTCAAAAAATAAGAAGCTAGACTGCGTAGCAAGTCCACCACTTGCACGAGTGGGGTCTGTCAAAGATTAGAAGACTATATTATAACTATGCTAATACTTTATTAGGTCTAGATATCACTAGCTAAGTGAGTTTTAAGGTTTGTTTGATTCTCGTGTATTTATGATAATGCAGTGGACCAGTATTGCACCCTTCCAAATTGTGCGACGTGACGCCCCAAGGCGTCATGCCATTGTTTCAGGGTCATCTCGTCTCAATGCGACCCAGTCGAATGAGTGCATAGCGCATTTTAACATACTTCGCAGCCGGCGAACTCGACTTACCCAGTCCCCCATTTCCTATTTTCCTGTTTGTTTGTTCATGTCGTTCAGTCAAGCTTTTGTTTTGTTTAAACGCGGAGTTTTGATGGAGAGGAGTTAAACAGGCATGTATTATGTCCCCATTACTATTTAATGTATATAGTGAAACCATTTTTGAAGAAGCATTACTATCTCAAAGTGAAGGAATAATAATTTACGGAAAATCTATTAACAACATAAGATATGCAGATGAAACCGTGATTATGGCAAGCTCTGCTGATCCAATTACTGCTAAACAAAACAAACACTTTCTATGAAAAATGTGGACTAAAAATTAATATAAAAGGACCAAATACATGATAATAGCAAAGGAAACAAATATACCAACAAAAATACATTTGGCAAATGTAACGATAAAAAGGGTTGATAAATACAAATACTTGGGAACCTGGATTTCAGACAATAATGATAAAACAACCGAGATAAGACCCAGAATAGAAATAGCAAAAAATGCGTTTGTAAAAATGAAAACAATTCTCTGCAACAAAGACCTTAGATTAGAACTGAGAGTAAGAGCACTGAGATGCTACGTGTTTTCGGTACTGCAATATGGGCTTGAAAGCTGAACATTGAAGCATGAATACATAAATAAGTTACAGTCCTTTGAAATGTGCTGTTATAGGAGGATGCTTAGAATAGCATGGACACAGAAGAAAACTAACACGGAAGTATTGCGAGAAATGGGCAAAGAATGCGAAATAATAAACACAATAAAAATAAAAAAGTTACAATATCTGGGACACATAATAAGTCGACAGCGATATGAACTGCTAAGGCTAATAATACAGGGAAAGATAAGAGGAGGAAGGAGTATAGGAAGAAGGAGAGTGTCATGATTGAAGACTTTAAGGGACTGGTTTAAATGCAGTTCTATAGAACTTTTCAGAGCAGCAGTAGATAGAGTAAAGATAGTAATGATGATATTCAACTTCCGATTGGGAGACGGCACTTAAAGAAGAAGAAGGAGTTTTGATATTGACTATAATCAAATATTATTTAAACAATTAGAAAACTAAGCGAAGACTTAGGCGAAGCCAATATTGTAATTTTAGGTAAATGAAAAAATATGGAAACATGAAGACGAATATTTCAAATTTAGGATTTACCAGGATTACTAAAGGGGATGTGTTGTTTGTCAAAACCATCAATCCACAGCTTTAGTTTTAAGATCATCATTTCTTACCAAAGTATTGCTTGCCTTGCACATGCACATAGTAGCTCATCGTTTTGCCAAACCTAGTAAACCATGCAGGATTGCTGAAGAACTGATCTTAGCTACAGCGGGTGATGTGGTATCATTAAAGAAATAAAAAATGTTAGTCTTTCAAACAATACGATTAGTTATCGTATTCACGACATGGTACACAAGATACTAATGAGAAAATTGCGGGGAAACTTTCAGGTTTATTTGCCATTCAACTGAATGCTGGCGATGCTCAATCGATATGTTATTTACTGTACCTACAAGAAATTTTCAATTGTATGACCGAAAAAATACTAACTGGGAAAACTATGTGGGTGTTATGGTTGCAGCCTGAACGATACCTGACTAAAAGATCTCTTCAAAACCGAGACCTTAAGTGTAAAATGTCGTATATAATAATGTCATATATAAAGAACCCTTACCAGCAAAGAACAATAAAAATGAATTTGGTTTTGTGAGGAATAGTATTATTAAAGTGGTAAACTACATTAAAACATGCCTGTAAAATCAAGATTTGTCAATAAGTTTTGTAAAGAATTGGGTACCGAGCCATCCGAGCATACCTCTTTTAATTAAGAAACGAATTTTTATACGTATCTACAGACAGAATCACATAATGATGCACATAATGTTGTTTAATTATCCAGGATACTAAACTATAAGTATATATTTGCTATTAACGGTAATGCTATTAAACGGTTTGCTATTAATGGTAATTTGTTAGTTGAAAATGGGTTTTTAAAGAAACAGGTAGTAATATATCTGTTCCTCTTTTACCTGAAGATCTTTAAAGTTAAATGTAGATGTTAGCGTAATAGGAAGCTAGTAAGAGATTTATTTGAACCCAGCCTGAGAGACTTATACACATCTTGAAATGATGTTCGTGTGTTACAATTCATTGGAGTAAGGTGTATTAATTCGCGTAAGAACAGTAATCACTCCACCGCGCTTTAATGCTTCAGACCATCCCTTTGTCCCTAAAGTACTCTGATGTGCGATAGGGTTACACTGTCAGCCAAATGCTCTTCATGTGGGTGTCCTGGGTACAAGAACTCCAACATGGTTCCCTAACCGATCAATGCAGGCTAGCGTAAGTTGCTTTATACATTTAAAAGATATGTTACAATAATTTGTCGGGTTGCCAAATGTGCTTTTACGCATTTCTTCAAAACACCTGCGTTTTGCTGCGCTAAGTAAACTTAGCTAGAAAATAAGTGCGTTTAATAATCTTTACCCTATTTCAAAGCAACAAAAATTCGATGTCATTTTAGCTGAATAGGTAAAATGACTACTGTCATATTAGGAGAGTTTTTCCTTCTATCTTTTTTCTTTCTTCGAATAAAATATTCTTTTAATAATAAAAGTTCAATATATAAAGCTATTTTTCATTTTATTTAGGTACCGATACAAACACAGCTTCATCCACAGTCGCAGCAACAACTCCTACAGTTAATACAAAGGGTTTTGTACAGCACACAACAAAATAATCAGCCAACAGCTATGATAATTATAGCTCAGCCGACTTATATCCCCGCCAATGTTGTTTATGGAAATGCAGCTCAACAATTATTAAGCTATCCCCAAGCTCGGTAAGTAAACAAAATGATAATTTCATAATTTCAAATATATTTTGAGACAATTTTAAACTATTTACATTTAGGGACGTGGTAATAATGGTAAACTATTAAAAACTATATTTATAGTATTCTACGTATGGTGCAAATGAAAGGAATGAATTCGTTATTTCGCAAACCGGTGACTTTAAGGAAAAATCCTGAAACCCGTCGATTTTTATTTTTGAACAGGCTATTCGTAAAGATACCTTTTTATATTTGACGTCATCTATGTGAGCTTAGTGACGTCATTGCTAAAATTTCTAAATGGAAATGTGGGTGTTGTTATAAACTATTTGACAGGTCTCTTAAATACCTATTCGGCCATATCAATATGTCTGAGTAATTGATGTTTGTATTTGTTTAAAAAATTAATAAACTTTTATTATTACAATAAATATTTAGTATGTATTATTCATTAAATACAACGTAACCTAAATTAAGTGCTTGTTTACTTTCAGCTAAAATACAATGAGAAAGACGTGCCGCGAAATTTTCTAGAACCTTTTCTTCCGGAGTTATTTGTGCAACTTCAATACGTATCCTTTCTTTAAGTTCATTGATAGAATTTGTAGTATATTTTGGTACACTTTACTATTCAAGTATCCACATAAAAATAAATCAAAAGGAGTCAAATCAGACGGCCTAGACGGCCATTCTATTGTTATTCTTCGACCTATCTACCGATATGGAAAGACGTAGTTCAAGTAGTTGCACACCAAGACAGCATAGTGTGAAGGCTCACCATCTTGCTGCAACCACAGAAGGAGCATTCTTGCATTCGGAAAGCAAGAAGTTTTAAAGAAATTCTAAATATTGAGGACCTGTTTCTTCGAAAAAGTATGGTCGAATAATTCGATTATCTATTATTCTCACCCTAACATTAATTTTCTCTGGGTATTAAGTACGATACTCTTGCATCCAGTGTGGATTTTTCGTAGCCCCGTACCGACAAGTTTGACGATTAACGTGACAGTTTAGTAGACAGGTAGCTTTATCAGAGAAAAGAACCCATTTTAAAAACATCGGATTTGTTATTTTATTCCATTATAACTCCTTGTACTAAACTTGTAGGGATTCAATTTTTCCTTTGGCTTTCTAAGAACTGTTAAATGGTTCATGTCATTATCTAATGCTACTTGCTATAAACAGGTATGAAGTTTGAAAGGCTAATAGAACCTCTAGTTGTGTTTGTTTTCATGTATTTGTTTTCTACTAAATTTGGGGAGGTGGAATTTAGGGTCTTTGATATGACCAGTTTCTCTGAATTTCTTCTTAATTTTGATTACAGTGGATTGTGAAATTGGTTTTCGTTTGCGGTATTTATTATTAAATAACGTATATACCTCATTCTACGTAAGAGTTTGATCTCCACAACCAATCAGTATTAGAATTTCAAATCTTTGACTTTCAGTCAGCTTCATGTTGATAGATACACACACTTTTTGAATACGTCTATTACAATAGTACTGTTAATCACTTGATAGAAATTTAATTAAGTTTGAATGTCCAAGTATCAATGTTGATATTTATAAGGTAACTAGATTTTTAAAAAAAGGTAAAAAGTTGGTAATTTTTGGTTTTTGGTTTACAGAATTTATTTTTGGATGTATATCGTAGCAATATTTAATACATTTTATAATGAAATATGTTAAAATTTCATAAATAATATTTGTGACAATAAGCAAATCAATTACTGTTCATATTGATATGGCTAAATAGGTATTTAAAAGACCTCTCAAATAATGTCTTAGAACACCCATATTTCCATTTAAAAATTTTAGCAATGACGTCATCACGGTCATCAGACATCATACATGATGTCTGATGAATGACCTGTTTAAAAATAAAAATCGACCGGTTTCTGGATTTTTGAGCTATGTAGTATCAACCTACTTTTAAAGGCCGGTTTTCACGCTACGTTTTCTTGTACGTTTTGTTGGTCATATAAAACGTACGACAAAATGTATGTTTTGTCCATTGTATACACACTACGTTTTTCCTTCCGTTGTCTACCTCATTTCTAATTCACAGTCTTGAGTTGTGTGAAGTTTGTTTAGTGATTTTTTTATTATGGAGTTTTATTTTTTTCAACTAAAACGATACTACGACTGAGGAAAAAGGGGATAAAGAGGGAAAAGACAAGATGGTCAAGAGAGTGGCTTCTGAAAAGAAGCCAATATTCCCACGTCTCGTTACTAAAAGAAATGAGAGGCGAATCAAATGACTGGCGCAATTATTAGCCAGTCATTACACCAAGTGTATTACCCATTACACTTACAGTATAAACCCATTACACTCCACAAAAGACTCACAGCAATTCTGAGATATCTTGCAACAGGACGCAGCCTCAAGGACTTGGAGTTCACAACCATAATATCCAAAACAGCGTTAAGCCAAATAATTCCTGAAACCTATAATGCAATCTGTTTGGTTTTAAAACATAACTACTACTAACTAAAGCTAAACTACTGTTTGTTTATTGGTTATATATAGGTTAAGGTTTAAAAAAATGTTTTTCTTTAATTTGAACAATAAAAAGAATCAAATAAAACGTAAGCATTTTTTTCCTTTAGAGACTACAAGAAAATTATAGGCAACGTTTTGTTTTATTATGGTCACTATAGTCTTTATTTTTCACTTGCCTAAACACGGAAAACTTTTGTACAATTCAATAAATTCCCCAAGAAAATCGTGGATGCATTGCCGGAAATCTGACATTATTAGTTTTTTTTTTTGGTAAAAATAAAGAGAACTGCAGTGGAGTTAGTCGTCAACTGAGTCAAGATCGGACGACTTGTCTGAACATGTTTACGTAACGTTTTATCCTATCAGTTCTCGCTAAACTATGCTTCTCTCATCAATTCTGCGATCTAAGGGCGAGCGCCCACCAAAGTGGCGTGGCAGTGGCAAGTAGCAAGTAGCACGCGTCTAGCATAATGTAACCAATCCTAACGAATGATTAGAATGAATGACGTTACTGTCATTTTGGTGTAAACTGAATCATTCGTTTTCATTGGTTACATTATGCTAGACGCGTGCTACATGCTACTTGCCACTGCCACGCCACTTTGGTGGGCGCTCTCCCTTACCTTGGATTTCATTCGATTCGACAAGACGTACGTTTTGCTGTTTATGTGTCACGTTTTAATGTATAGGATTTGTTCTATCCAACAAAACGTACAATAAGATGTAGTGTGAAAACCGGCCTTTATCGAGGAATTTTTCCACAATTTGTTTTTGAAAGTCTGTAACAAAAGAAATGATTTTATGCCAAACTAAATTTTAATCGGAATTGATACATTTATTGATGTTATGAACGATTAGTAACTTATTTAAACCGACCAGTTATAATAGATCTCTGAACATGATCATCAATATTAACTTTGCCTTTATACCTATGTGCGGTCGTTTCTATCTTGGGTCATATTAATATTATTCTGTCATGCCTAAGTCTTCCTCTCCTACTCCTCCTAGAAACTAGCAAATCAGCAATTCTTCGTATTGAGTCATTAATGTCTGGACATTGAACATCGGGAACTCTCTTAGCCTATGCTTTCTCACTTTAGCATCAAGTTATGAAACCCATTCGGCTTCTCTCTAAATGGACCACTCCCAAGGAGAAAAAAAAAAACGAAAAAAATCGATTTTCCAAGAATTTGTACGCAGAAGAAAAAAATATTTCAAATAAAAAATGTATCTAAGATAATTTTAAACAAAAATGTTCATTAGAATTTTTTATGTAAAATAAACCGTCCTCTCAAAAATATCGCTTAAAGCGGCGCGACTACGCGCGCGAAATAAATTTTAAATAAAATTTGTATCAACCCGAAGGTAAATCTTTGATATCTTTTTATCAGATTGTCCTATCGACAAAAATCAAAAATATATTTTAAAGGCGAATAATGCAACTCGCCTTGGTTCAAGGGTTGACAATGTGGATTGGAGTAAGGTGTAACATTATCTAGAAACATTATCACTATTCTGCCTTATAATATTCGTGTCAAATTTGTGGAGCCATGTCGTCAAAATGTCTGCAATCATTAATGCCTTAGTAGATAGACTAAGAGACTTCTGGACCAACCCCTAAATTGCAACCCCTAAAATCGCAACCCCCGGTCGTAAGTTCCAAACGGCTAAACGTAGGATGACGTACGAGGGCTCGTTGGAAAGGGGATGAAAAATGGGGTTGAATGCAGTATGTGCCGTGCGCATCGGAGCATGCCAAAAGGTCATTATGGGGTATCTTCGTTTCTATTGGTCCGATCGGGGCGTACGAGGGCTCGTTGGAACGGGGAGAAGGCAGGGAGACAAAAAACAAAGATGGCGGCGTTGTCAAATGGGCGCTAGAATGTATCTTTGTTGCTATTGGCTTGATTTTGACGTAAGAGGTGTCAAAGCGTTGGATGTCACGTGACATTCGACGCAGGACGTGACATGTATGTGACATTTGTCACAGAACGTAAAATGTCACGTGACATTCGACGCGGGACGTGACATTCGACACAGAACGTGAAATGTCGCGTGAAATGACGTGACATTCGACGCAAGACATCGCTCAACATACATATAGAGTAATGGACTTTAAATAAAACAACATCATAAACGGAGCATTTTTTATTCGTATATAGTTACAATTTTGTTTAACAAAGTTCTTAATTGTTTTAATAGCCCGTCGTTGGGGCAGGGTATTCCAAAAAGTTCCCAGCTAAACGTTCCTGCTGCTACAACTTTACGTGTGTATTCGCTGTACTCATAATAGGTGTTGTTCTGAAAAAAGTAAATAAACCCATCAGTATAGCGGAATGCTGATTTTATTGTATCTGGTAGTCCTGGTAAGAGATAATTCATGGGTCCACGGTTTAAGACATCTCCAGCTTCATTAAATTCAATATAAGAATCATCATTGTATAATAAATACGTTTGACCGCTGTTTGTTTGAAATAATGCATTTATTTTGGTTCTCGCAGGTATAA